AGGAGCTGGAAGGGGCAGAAAGAATCAGAAGGAGCACAAAGGTAAAGTAGGAGAAGGAACAGAGAGGGTCTGGAAGGAGCTGCAAGAAGCTGGAAGGGGCAGAAAGAAGCAGGAAGGGGGAGCAAGAAGGAGGAAGGGCCTGCAATGAGCAGGAAGGGAAATAAAGGAGCAGAAAAATGAGATTGGAGCAGGAAGGACAAGTGAAGTGATCCCTCCACTTCATTCTGGACAGCACATCATAAGGCTGTGGTACCTTGGCCTGGCAGGAAACTTTGGACCTTCTCATCTCCTCAGGTAAAAAACATATCAATGTTCACTTTTATTTACTGAGTGTCAGGAAGCACCGAGTGCCGCTGGGTAGGGGTGCTGATGATTGGCTACACCATTCAGCTGGCACTCTAAGCCAATCAATAACACCCCATTCATAAAAACTTTAAAAAAAATTATGAATCGGAAACTAGCGATTGACTTAGAGCGTCAGCTGACCACTCTAGCTAATCAGTGGCACCCATGCCTGACATCAATCTTCACTTCCTGACACTCTGTTTCAGAAGCCGAATACCACTGAGCGACCTGGAGATCTGGAGCTGGAGGAAGCCTTTTGGGTTAAACAATATGAGAACGGTTTCACCCCTTAAAGGAAAGAGAGCGCCCAGGGGCCTCCTTGCTTCACAGCATTTTAATTTAGATTAAGTTGTTACGATGACCAGAATGTTCCTTTAATTTAATTAAAGGAACACTATAGTGTCAGGAAAACAAAATTCAGTCTATTCCAAGGCTCATTGAATGAACAGTTAGTGCAAGGAGATTGCATACATGTGTATAAGTGGCTCCCTATAGCGGGGAGGTCATGTGTTGAGTTGTCGATAGTGGGTTGTACTTATTGCACTGGGTAAGCTCAGGTCATATGAGTCCTAACTGATGTGTGTACAAAAGAGAAACTAAAAAGTGAAAATTATGAAAGGATAAGAGAAAAGACTAAGTAGTGAGTTTAAGGTGAAGCTTCATTACTATGGACAAGGGCATACCTAGAGAATTTGGCACCCGGGGCGGATCCTGTTATTAGCACCCTGCCCCCACACCCACACACTTTAAAATGCAAAGAATACCCACAATTGTTTTCATATTTTTTACAAATATTCATTGCACACATTTAAAAACCTGTACATTTATAAAGTCCCCTTCTTAAAAAAACCTGCACCACTCCTTCACAAAAACCCCTGTCCAGCACCATTTTGCAAAAACCCTTCCCCCTTTAGAAAAGCCCCTGCACCACCCATTCAGGAAATAAATCCTACCCAACCCCCCTTCTACAAAAACCCCTGCACCCTCCCTTCTTCACAAAAACCCTTGCACCCCCCTCTTCACAAAAATCCCTGCAACCTCCCTCTTCACTAAAACCCCTACAACCCTCCTACTTCACTAAAACCCCTGAACCCCCATTCTGAACTAAAACCCCTGCACCCCCTTTCTGCACTAAAACCCCTGCACCCCCTTTCTGCACTAAAACCTCTGCACCCCCTTCTTCATTAAAACCTTATACCACCCTTCTTCATTAAAACCTTATACCACCCTTCTTCACTAAAACCCCTGCCTGTAATACCCATTATTTAGAAAAAAAACACAAAATTAGCAGACACTCACAGCTTGCTGCTATGGCCACTGCTGCTCCAGCCTTAAGGCTTTTCCGCCATGGTGCTGCACAATGCAGCAGAGCGGATCCTTCTGCTACTGCTCGAGATAAGGTGGAGGGTGGACAGATGGAGCACGTCAACGCCGTGGCGTCATGGCATTACGCTCCTCATAATTAAATAAGGCTGCCTGGCCCACAAGAGTGGATGGCAGTCATGTCACCCCACCAATGTGTCCCACCCTTCTATTGGTACGCCACTGACAATGGAAGATCCCGCTTATTGAGAGAGTTGGGGCTATTCTCACCGTCTGGTCAGGCATACACGTCTGATTTACCCTGAGGTGTGTAAGAGGGTAGGTTAAATGGGCGACAGACAGTCGGGTATTGTTATGGTATGTTATGTCACTAAATTGAGAACTTGAGGAGAGGTAACCAAAAGTAAATGCTATGAAACCGTTCACTAGGTAACATTTGGTTTAGCCCAACAGAGAGTCAAGTAGTGGCCATGGCATAAGAGTTTGAAGTGGACTTTTTATAGATTTTATCTATTTCAAATTATGTTTTACATATAAATATTTTATGTGAAATTGAACAGAAATATAACTCATATGCAGGTTTTGTTCTGATTTTGTTTTGACAAGTACTTACAAATGCCTCTGACCTTAAGGGATTAACCCCTTAAGGACACATGACGGAAATATTCCGTCATGATTCCCTTTTATTCCAGAAGTTGTGTCATTAAGGGGTTAAAGGAAGCAATCTCATTAGACCACAATTAACAAAAGAATGTGATGTGGTAAGGAACACTATGGGATTGGGGGGTGGTAAGGAAGAACACTATGGGACAGGGGAGGGGGGAGAACACTATGGGACAGGGGAGGGGGTAGAACAGGGAGGGAAAGAACACAGTGGGGACGAGGAGAAAGAACACTATGGGACAGGGGAGGGGAAACAGGAAAGAACATGGGACGAGGGGGAGAACACTAAAAAAGAGGGAGGGGAGAGGAACACTAGGGGGGAGCAAGAGGAACATTGAGGGGGGCACTAAGGTACAGGGGAAGGAAGGGAAAAGGAACATTGAGTGGAGTGGGGGTGCACTAAGAGACAGGTAAGGGAGGGGAAGAGGAACATTAATGGACATAGAGGGTAGGAGAAAGAAACACTAAGGGATATGGAGGGGAGAGTGGCACACAAGGGGGCCTGAGTGGGGAGAAAGACACACAGAGGGACATGAGGGGGGAGAAAAACACACACAGATGGGCTTGGGGTTGAGAAAGTTCACAGAGGGGCTGGGGATGAAAGCAACACACAGAAGGGCCTCTGGTGCAAATAAAAAGGGTTTGGGGTGAAAGAGACACAGATGGGCTGGAAAAGAGGAAAAAGAGACACAGAGGGGCTGGGGGGAGATAGACAGGCTAGAGGTGAAAGAGAAACACACAAAGGAGCTGGTAAGAGTAAAAGACACAAAGGGCTGGGAGAGAAGGAGACACACAAAGGGACTGGGGGTAGTAAGACACACAAAGGGGGGTTGTAAGAGATACACAAGGAAGTTGTAAGACACACAATGGGGAAAAATAGGGGATAAGATACACTAATGGGCGTAAGACATTTTAAAAAGGGGAGAAGAAACAAAAGGCGGGTTAAGAGGCACGCAGGTGAAGATGCTTTTGGGTGGGGGGGGGCACCAAAATCATCTTCGCCTGTGTACCCAAAAATCCTTGCACCAGCCTTGTCTATAGGTGTCATCCCTCGGTTCTAGGTCAAACAATTTTCAAGAAGTTCAACCAAAACCAAGTGACCTCAATCCACAATGAGTATTATCTCCATGCAAATATGAAAGAAATTGATATCCTTAATGCAGAAATGGAAATTCAAGATTAGCAATCTGAAGATGGAGGCTGGGCACCTCAGAGACCTCTGGTTTTGATCAAACCACATAGATACAGTTTGACTAGTATCATACCCACTACAACACCATTTAGTGGCTTTTTATTTATTTTTCAATTCTTTATTTTTGCAGTGCATTGTTAGGAATACAGGCTGATTAAAACACAATTCCAGATTTGGCAAAGTAAAGCAGAATAGTAAGTCATGGTAATACAGTTGCGCCATTTTTCTATATTAAATAATCATGAAAACATGTTAGAGACTTAAACAAGACTATAGTATTAAATGAGAAAATTCCAGGTTTAAGACAGCAGGCTTATGGTTAGTTAGTATCACATGCGGTGAACATCGCAACCAAAAGAAAGAAAAAACTAAACAGTTATGCTGTAACCTCCTGAGGTAACTGTCTCATTTGTTAGGTAATTATTGAAAAACAAATATTGCAGTAGTTTTGGGTATAGCTGATACTTCAGGCAGAGAATTAAACATTTAGAAAGCTCATATAGTAAAAGCAGTGCGAGAGTAGAACAATACCAAAATAGTATAAAATAAAGGGTACAGCTATGCTGGGTCCAACATCTAGTATATCTTGTATATCTGAAGTTAAATTTGGGACCAGGGTACTGTCATATTTGCTGTTTAGTTGTGGTGTGTCTTGGATTGTGGCTCCATGTGTGGGAGGGTACTAAATCATGATATGACATATTCTTGCCCACATGGGTCCTTATGGTCCAAGACAATATGCTTTATGACCCCTAACCAGAGGGAGCTGTGGGGGGAGGTGGGGGTTGCTATCGTTAGTCAGTTTGTGTGCGGTCAAAAGTTGGGCCAAGCTTCAGCGACCGTGGAATACGATTGGCTACAGGTAAGTGTTAAGGGTGGATAGGTGTGCGGATATGTGATGTATCTGAAAATGGAACTACAAAAAAAAGGGTTAACATCTATAACAAAAGCTGAACTGAAAAGGTGAAAATATCATATGGCAGTTCAAGCATTAGCTCCTGATTTCCCCCTTATATGGGGGACGAAAGGTGCAGTTCGTGTTGGGTCCCAGGTGTGTATCGTGGACATCTTTTCAGGAGCTGCGGGTTCTAGTGTATGTCCCAGAACCTGGAGAAAGGGTTCAGCTTCAGCAGGTGATGCACAGCGTGTGGTAGTGCCGTTCGTCTCTACCATGAGGGCTCTTTGTAATGTCTATCTGTATGCCCCCCACCCCTCCCCCCCCAGCTTCACGGAGCCTCTGGGTTACCAGGTCTTGTCACGTCTCAGGGTGCAGCCGCTGATGCTTGCCTGGGTTTGTTGATTCAGAAGTAACTTTCCAGGGTGAGCTTTTTAGCCAGTGTGTGAGGCAATAGAGTTGTGAAAAGGCACCGTAGGTAGTGCGGCAGTTCGTTTGGGCATATGGCGTCTGAAATGCCACTGATCTTTATGTTTGTGCAGCGGTGTTGGTTATCAGTTAGATTTCCAGAAGTCCCTGTACCTACCTCTGTACGTCCGATATGTCCTCCTCTGAGGCCTGGACTCCAGTGGTCACTGATTGTACTTCCTTTCTTATTAGGTTCATATCAGCCGCAGACATCTGTTTTAATTCCATTAGCAGGTTTTTTATATCCAGCTTAGTGGCCGGGGTCAGCAAATCCGGGTTAAGCCGCGACAGTGGTGGCTGTCTTCCATTTGCAGGTTCCACATGGTCTCTGAAGACTGATTCCGAGCTGGAGGAGCTGGCATCATGCTCAGGCAGGGCTGCCATTTTGTAGGCCGCAGGGCGCTGGAGTAAAACTCCTTTATATTGAGAGTATCTGGATGCGTCGGCGTGCGGTTTCTGGGATTTTCGGCCCATGGAAACACTGCCGTGCAGTTGTTCACTGGCACTGTAAGGGTACAACCCTGCTTCCTCCAGATGTAGCACTGAGAGGTACGATGCGGCTTGTGGGCCCGATGGTGTGTGGTAGGCCCCAGCTCTGTGGTGTGTTTTCCTGCCCAATTTTCTGGAACAAGAAGGGCACTTGATCACCCCCTGTGCTGCTGGGCTGGCGAGGGAGGAATTTTGGTGTATATGCTGCACTCCGTTTGCTGTGATTACGCTAGTTTTAGTAGCACTTTGCAGGAGCTCGGGAGAGTAGCATCCATTCAGCTCAGGCTTTAGGCTCGCCCCATTTACTGGCTATAATACTCATGCTGGTGCTATAAAACTAAAAAGAGTTTGAAAGGAGCTTAAAAATAGGTCTTTCTCCAATATATTCTTCGGCATAGACTCCTGTGCCAAAGAACTGAGTGACAAGGAGAGCAGAAAGGACTTCTACTCTTCAAGAATAGCAACCACAGCACACTCTCCACAATGCTTTTATCACTGGCTTATGAGAATAGGAATACCAGCATACAGATAATGAAACCAATGTGTCGGATTCATGGAGGAGGTTTGCCCTGCTTGGGAAGTGTCCCCCAGCCAGGCAAATCGAAGAAGAGAGCAAGTGGAGCACAAGAAGATGGGAGGTTGGTGGGGACAGTGAGTGGTGGAGATGAAGCATAACAACCACAAAGGTAAGTACATCGGAAGAGAGACAAGTTAATACATTTCTGTGATATATGATCTATTCAATGCACTTTGAGTTGACTGATAAAGTTAAAGGGACACTCCAGTCACCCAGACCACTTCTGCTCATTTAAGTGGTCTGGGTGCCAACTCCCACCACCCTTAACCTTGCAAGTGTAATTATTGCAGTTTTTATAAACTGTAATAATTACCTTCCAGGGTTAAGTCCTTCTCTAGTGGCTGTCTATCAGACAGCCACTAGAGGGACTTCCGGCTTCTTAGAACACGAAAAGTGTTTTAAATGATGCTGGACGTCCTCACGCTATGCTTTCCTATGGGGAGGTCTAATGTGCGGGCACTGCCATTGCCGCGCATGCGCATTAGGTCTCCCCTGTCGGCTGACGTTGACGAGGGAGGAGCATGGGTGGAGCCTGACCCAGCGCAGAGGGACATCGGGGCTGGATTCAGGTAAGTCACTGAAGGGGAGAGGAGCACTGCAGAGTCCTGCAGTGCCAGAAAAACGGATATGTTTCCTGGCACTGGAGAGTACCTTTAACTTGTCACGACTCGTTCACTTTAAGAGCTTTGGGACTAGCCCAAGTTGTGACACCTGCTACACCTACTGATATATATATATATGCTAGTTTAAATAAATAACATTACATAGTATGTATGTAATGCTACATGTACAACAGCATAACTTCCTTTCTTATATATGACCTATGGAGCATTTACCATTGAATTGTACTCTGATGTTATATCACCCCTCATTATTCTGATATCAAAGTGTATGGAGAGAAAAAAAAGGTCTCTGAAGTTATTGCCCCGAGACATGGTATCTGGCACAATTCCCAGCAGTCTCGTTAATTTTACCTTCTTTTCACTTATGTTGCTAATTAGTATATCTATGAATTCGAATTTATCTGGAAGGAAAGAGGTATGTTTAAAAAATAAATGATGAAAATAATAATTTACATTATTCGGGATATTGTTATATGTAAACCATCCATTTAACGGTCATATCTGTTTGATTCAATTATTCCCTTAAGGGGCAGTGTAAAAAGATTACTATGCAATTCATTTAACATATGAGTCACAGGAGAGTGCTAAATATCTGCTTAATCAACATACTGATTTTTAGGGCTTGATCCTTGCACATGCTGGATATGTTTTATAGGATGGTTAATTAGAAATAAAAAGTTAAAACTCAAAACACACTCGATCACATAGCCGAAAGTGTTCTAAGTACAAATTTTAAATAAATGGAAGAAACAAGGGTTGAGATGTGTAAATATACCATATTTTAAAATTATGTTAGTTTATTTACTTTTCTTTAGAGTAATCAAAAAAGTTTTTGGAAATGGGAAGTCCTTTTTTTATGTTATGCCCCTTTTTGGGGTAGTGATGTAGTGGATTTCAATTTCTCACAACTTTGTCTCACACAGGAGTACTGTGACCTGGAACCATACAACCACACAGTCTTAATGATAGGAACACCACACAAATCGGATTTCTTGTAAATGCAGTCTTTTTCTTTATTAAGAGGTCTGGCAATTTAAACAAAAATAAAACAAACAAAAAGAAATGCCTTGCTCTTCTGAGCACTAACTGACAAGTTAGTTCCAACCATACAAAATACACATTTGAGCACAGACCTTTTTTTCAAATAAATGTTTCCTTTCTCCTTCAGAACATGAAGACTCTTGTAGGGAGAAATGCAGTCTCACACTCACACACTGCTTGTCCTTCTCCTTTTGCTGCCGTTGCGGCCATTTTTCTGGAGCCAAGTGGGCTCTGTGCGTTCCGGGCAGCTGGCCATGTGGCCAGCCTTCCCTGTCCCTGTTTCCTCTGTATTGGTGTTGCTGCCCTTTCTTGCAGGGGACTTCATGCATTAAACTGTAAATACACTACATGGAACCTGGATGGGCAGGCACTGTCCCATACCTACATCTATCTACCTGTCACACATTTCTACTCCTCAGGTGGGCTAACAGGCACCCCACAAAGCCCTATCATTACAGGGGGTGACCCCCACTCTGCATTACTGGGGCACTGTTCTTGCTTATACTGCCCTCTACTGGGCCATACTGCTGTGCAAGTGGCACTATGGTGGGTTGGATGACCCCCTCCCTCTGTCTAGCCTGGGCTCCCCTGATCCTGTGACTCTTACCCTGAGAGTGACCCCCTCCCCCTGCTGACCTGAATTTGCATGATATGCTAGTGCTTGTTGGGTGACCCCCTCTTCCTCACTGGGTGACCCCCAGCTGGCCTTATCTAGGTACCACGCTGACTGTAGCCTTATCTAGGTACCACGCTGACTGGCCTTATCTAGGTACCATGCTGACTGTTTCAGTGACATCTGTCATGTCTGACGAACCTGGCTTCCATGTCCCTGAGGGCCTCCAGGCTTGGTTGTGTACCGCCTTGGCTGACTCCTTACCTAAGGCCCTCGCTGCCTTAGGTAGAGCATCGCCCAGACCATCTGGCGCACAGGCCTCTGACTCAGGTGGCTCCCTATACTCTGCATATATGGGTTCGGTGCACAAGAGGCCTTGGAAGGGCCACTGTGCCCCCTCCAACAAAGGAAAGATGCCGGACAAATTGCCAAGACTGGTCGCCAGATCAGGCAGCCACCTGTATGAGGATACATTCTCTGGAGAACTAGGCTATGACATTCTGGCCGAATACCGGGCTGGTGGCTAGGGTGCCGCGTCACCCGGCGAAGGTGTTCCTGACCATAGTTCACGGTATGCGCGGTAGACGGTGTTGGACTCTCCTCTGGCCGGCTCGCAAAAAGCCCCTGCTGCTCATGCTGACGACCCCAGTGAGATCTTAGACCCCTCGGGTCTTCCGCTCTTCGACCCGCACCTCCTCAAGCACCCCCGCTCTGCAGAATGGGCGCCCCTGGACCACATTGCGGAGTTTCTTCACTACTGGCTTCACCGCCCTTTGGTTAAAGAAGTCAGACCGAAACTTTGGGCTGAGTATCCACGCCTGATGTTGCCAGACAAGGTGGCCCTTACCCCTGACTTTGACCCGGTGTTTGCTACCTTCATGACAAAGTCTGGGAAGGACCCACCCAGGATAAATTCCTCGATATTAGTGGCCCGATGACCCAGATCTTCCTTATGGAGGATGACGGCCTGCAAGGGTGGCCTCCGATTGACTCCTTTGGGAGTGGGTCCAGAGAGCTGTCTGGCTCCTGGGCAATGCCAATGTGGCCCTTAACTCGGAACGCTGCAAGGCAGCACTTTACAAACTTGAATGGCAAATTAGGTGATTTGGCCTCTAAGGAGCTGTGTCCGGATGCCAAGGGCCTGCTATTCGGAGATGCCTTCATGAAGGAATTGAATCGGCACATCTCCATCTACACATCCCTCAACAAGGCACAACAATCCCTCCGAAGGGTCTTCAATTCCGGGGACCATTTTTCCTCCAGGGCTGGTCGGCGCAGGGGCTGCACCACCAGCAGAGCTGGCTTCATGGGCAACAGGCCCATACTCCACTCTCACCTCCAACTTTGCAATTTTTTCACCTTGTTTGGTGGCTGTTCACCTTGCTGCCCTGTTGTGTATTTGTACCCCACCTCCTCTAGACTGTAAGCTCGTTTGAGCAGGGCCCTCATCTACCTATTGTTCCTGTGTCACTGTGTAATTGTCTCATTTATTGTAAATTTCCCCCTTTCATAATATTATAAAGTGCTGCAGAATTAGTTGTCGCTATATAAATATCAATAATAATAGTAGTAATAATAATATATGTTCAGATTAAAAGTACATGCATCTTTCGTAATGCAAGAATTATGACATATGGACATTATTTTGACGTTGTGGTGTCACTTTTTTTAATAATCTGCATTCCCACAAAGGTTCAATTCTGTGCCAATTTCTATAAGTTCAGTATTTAAAAATGTTGAGTTATCTATTTTTCTTAACATCTATTGTATGTATGCCAGCTGGTTATCCAAAGTTTGAAATAAATGTTATGGCAACATTTTTTTTTCCGAAAAAGTATTCAACAGAAAACTGTTTAAGAGGCACAGTAACCCTTTTTTTGTTTGTTTTTTTTCTGAGTAAATAAGCATTTTACTAAAGTTAATATTCTGTCCACAACAACAGTAAACCTTGATTAATGTCTAGACATAGATGCTAAAGTTTAAGTTTTGTTATTCCAGCCAAGCCTATATTTCAAAATTAAATACACAGGAACAAATTGCAGGACAACTACAGTGGTAATGTATGTGAGTAGGAGAGGCTTATTGATTAATTTTAGGAACTCGCCGTGAAACTTAACAAAGTGTGTTGGGAGAATATCTGAGTCCATGTTTGATGGGTGCGTCAGAATTCAGCTCACAGTTAAGGTAATGTCTCTACAGATGTAAAGTTCTCGTAGTGTGAGCGTGGGCTATGGCTGGAAGCTGGATGATGAGGCAGTCCACAGGTACCTAGCCGATGCCTGTTCTGGAGGCCGTGGTTGCGGGTCTGGAGCAGAGTTCTGGTCCCAGGGGGCTTCCCAGGGACATGTCTGGGCTGGTGTTGCACATGCTCTCCTGCTTGTCCCGGGTTTTGCTGAAGGCCTTCATCCTTGTACCACGGGT